CATTGAAGCACTTCTTTACAGTCATTACTTATAGTATTACCTCATTCGGAAAGCTGTCTCATCACAAGAAGAATGAGCGAAATTTCCATGTTGCCTTTTAAATAATTTGTAAGTAGAAATGTGTGAATACAAACTACCAAGTATTTATAGTCAGAAATATTATAATTTGTATTTCATATAAGAAAGCATTAATTGTCAGTTTGGAATCTAACTACAGGGTTTATGTACACACTAGCTTTTGCCCGCGGCTTCGCTCGCGTTAATTTATGGATTGGGGGTGAAATTTGTCAAAATCATTTCTATGGGGATGCCTACGTCATAGTAGCTTTATGCATGCAAAGTCTCAGCCCGATCGGTTTAAAATTGACAAAGTTTCATATAAACTTTCATCCCCTATTTTATTCCTTTGGGGGCAGAATTAATCAAAATCCTTTCTTAATGATTTTAAGTAAATATTTTCTGTACTTACTTTTATTTTATAATTCCAATAGAAATAAATCCTATAGGAATAGGAATAATAATAGGAATGTTCAAATACATATGTTTTCTAAGTAAAGAATTATATATGCACACAAGTTCAATATAAATCTTCAGCCTTTATAGGATGATTGGCTTTTGCCCGCGGCTTCGCTCGCGTTAATTTATCCCCTTAGGGGTGGAATTTATCAAAATCCTTTCTTAGGAGATGCCTACGTCATAGTAGCTTTATGTATCCAAAGTTTCAGCCCGATCGGTTTAAAATTTACAAAGTTTCATACAAACTTTCATCCCCTATTTTATCCCTTTGGGGGTAGAATTAATCAAAATCCTTTCTTAGTGGATGCCTACGTCATAACATCTACCTGCATGCCAAATTTCAGTCCGATTCGTCCAGTGGTTTGGGCTGTGCGTTGATAGATCACTATGTCAGTCACCTTTGAGTTATATATATTTAGATATACATGTTATTCTGATATGTAAGCTCGCAGTCATCTCGTTATTTATCTTTCTTGCTATATTATTTACAATACATTCCTAAACATCTATATAATCGTAAACGATGGGCTAAGCTATATTAGACATCCATCTATACTTAAAAACTGCATTTTCTTATTAATATAGTATTAGTAAGATTATTCGAAAACATAGTGTTCTATAGATGCTTTATTTGTTGTTATAAATGAGCTCTATCAGTTGATGGAGATCTACAAATGTCAATACATTTGTAGATACACATCAACAACATCAATGTATTGACATCGTCACGGCTACAACTAGAATCGAATAAAAATAGGACAAAACTGATTGCTATCAGGGAGCTGGCAACGTGATTGCAATTATTGTGTTATTGTAGGTACACACCATTATTACATAGTTTAGAACAAAGTCGGTGTCGCTGTCTGTCCCTATGTATGCTTAAATCTTTAAATTTTGAAGTGGTTTTTAATAGATAGAGTGATTCAAAAGGACCTTCCTTTTGAATCACTATATATATAATACATGTAATGTGCGAAGCCGGGGCGAGTAGCTAGTAAACTATATTTTATTATATACTTCGTGAGTGATCTATCAACGCACAGCCCAAACCAGGTAGATGTTATGACGTGGACGGATCGGATAAAATAGCGGATGAAAGTTTAATGCACATTTTCGATCAGGTACATCAATAATAATATTGTAAATTTTTATACCTATATGGTTTCCCATAAAAGGCCTATTGACTTTTTCTAAACGATACTTGGGGACAGCAAGTTTGTCTTACACGTGATAGAGCAAACGCCTCCGGCATTTCTCTCAATTTGCGAGGCCTGCGATATATTTTGTGCCCCAAAAACGATAACTTTACGATTTTATCAACTGTTTATGATATTTTTTTCAGGACACGTGCCATTTAGAAATTGGATATTTGATGTCGTTATTTACGACGTTTTATGTTTTTTTTATTAGCGTTAAATTGTTCAATCAATATGAAGTGTTGCTATAAAGTTAAGCGTTGTTTTTATAATATTATAATGAATATTGGATCACAAACACTCATAATATACTAGCTTTTGCCCACGACTTCGTCTGCACGCAACACGTCTTAGTCATAATGTTTCATCCCCTATTTCAACCCCTTCGAGATATTTTTTGACATAAAAGATAGCCTATCATAATTCAAAATATCTTCAAGTTCATTTACATTAAGAGCCGTTCAGCAGTTTATCTGAAAAAGGGCAATAATCAGTCAACAACATACAAACACACTTTCACTTTTATGATATTAGTTGGGAAGTACAGATAATAAATATTGGATTACAGATTATCACAGATAATGTTACATATCATTATAGTGGATAGGTACTGATTATTATCTCTCGCATTAGACTACGTATACATAAAAACTACCAGAGATAGTAGGAATTAACAGGGCACTAAAACGGCCTCCGTAGTCTAGCGGTTTAGCACACCGTTTTACTTCCAATGATCGCGGGTTCGATTCCGCGGTCGATGCAAAAAATTGTATTCATGGGTATGATTGTTTGTATCGGTCTGGGTGTTTTTTTTTATGTTATATATTATGTATGTTTACAAAAAAGTGGTTAAGTATATATATCAGTTGTTTTGTACCCATAACACAAGCTCTGTTTATCTTGGCGCTAGATGGCGCTGTGTGAATTGTCTTGAGATATTATTATTATCTTGTTATCACGGACACATAATCTATCCATATAAATAAAATTGTCTGTTTGTCTGTCTGTCTGTTTTTTCCGGCTAATCTCTGAAATGGTTGGACCTATTTTAACGGGACTATTGGCAGTTGGCTAATGTAATAAGGAGTAACTTAAGCTACATTTATTTTAGAAAAATTCTCTAGTTGACTTTTTAATTAAATTCCACGCGGACGAAGTCACGAGTAGAGCTAGTCTTTTATATAAAAAGAACTGATGCAGTAGCCAGTGAATCAGTACCAGCTGCTATTGTAAAATTACCGTAGTAGAATTATTCGGGTATTCTCAGAAATGTTCTAAATTAACTAATTCTACCAAACAATAATACAAGCTTAATATTCTTGTAAACATTCCATTATAATCTAATTAACTAGACAATTAAGCCAGTTAATAACTGTGGAGCTAATATCCTGAGTTTAGGATGAAGGAAATTTAATGGATACCTAATGCCTGGATAACTGGCGTTGGAACAAACAAGGGTAGTGATCATAAACAATTCATTATTAGTTATTTTAAGATTATGGATAATAGAAAATTTGTTTTTATATATATTTTCGTTAAATATGCTATAAACAAATATTTATTTGTCATCATCACCATCATCATCACCACTACTATCACCAACACCATGACCACCCTCATCATCAGCACACTGCAGTTCACTACCGGGCGTTTGTATATAGTGTATTTAACAAAAAATATAAAGCTACGATTAAAATGGCCTAGTTTGTACCAGAGTTAATGTTGTATAGTTTAACATGAAAAAGCAGTTACTGTGATATAACAGTAATAGATGGACGTACGTTATCACGGACATTTTTGTAGATATTGATGTTCTCTATAAAACTGTAGTACATCACTTTGCTCTATTGTGAATAATTTCCTCAACGTACGCTATATAAGGATGTTTTAAAATTTATTTCACAAGTTGATTTACTTTATCGAAGTTGTCATATCAACCTTTAACGATTTAAAAAAAAAAAATATATCTCCTATGTTCGTTAGAGATATCAAAGAATTATAGTAGTAAAGGAATTTATTCAAAGTTTTGCAGCCTGTTCAATACAAACAAACAATACAACAATGAATCCTTTCCTACTTATAATATTAGTTTATTGGAAATAATGGATGTTTAATTTTATTTCCTAAGTCGTTTGAATAGGGAATAAGGCTGAGCGGATCTCAATAAAAACATGGAAAATCTTTTGTTTGTTTCTGAGAAGACAAATAGCGGCGGATAAACAGTTGTTTATCGGTATTATTAGATATAAAATGTAGTTTTATTTTTTAAAAAAGCACTGGTAGATGTACATTAAAACAAACAAAACATTCAGCTTTTTAATTAGTCTAGATTATGTCGGTGTATAGTCGATCGATTTAAATCAGAGTAACGTTCGATAACAGTACTCTGTGGTCAGTCTAATTGGCTGTAATCTCGTCGACTTGCTGACTCTAAATTTAATCAGTTAATGCTTTCAAATACAATCTGTTTATAATAGGTATATTTCAGTTACACATTGGATTAATGTGTTTTAATGTAGCGAATTATATGAATATCATTTCTACCATTTCTACTAAAATGACGAATATATCGTTTCATTACTCTAAAGTTAATGGATAATTATTTAGCTTTGGTATTCGTGTTTAATTACAAATTATATGCTGGGGGAGTAAGGATATATGACGTCTTTAGTATATGTTTGGATAAATTAATTGACTTATAAAATACTAACCGCTACTTTTGATTTTTTTTTGTCCTTATAATTTATACTATATCCATGCACAATTTCATTAAGATCCGTCCAGCCGTTGATTTATGATATAGTATCAAACCGACAGACATACTTTCGCATTTATAATATTATTATGGATAGATAACAGTCGCCACTGACTACCAGGCGGGCCGACAGACTGTTGACCATTCCAAATATGTCAGAAAAATCAGTTTATTCAGTTATAATTGTAATTAATCGTCATAATTTAATTCAATTCATAATATCTTTATCCATGTAGGTCTATCAGACCCTTATGATATGTTAAATCTTCCGTCAGTTTGGAATTATTATGAGAAGAACTGACAAGAAACTCAGCTCGTATTCTTTTCGAATCAATGTTATACATGTTTACAATAATATAGATTCATTATAAATTCAAATTTGGGAGAATAGAGTGACATGCATATTCTATTGCAAAAGAAAAAAAGCCTAAGCAGTGTTCGTAATCTGAACAGACCAGTCCCCACAAGCAGCACCCGTTCACGAGTATGACGGATTTAATTTGGCTAAACCAATATAATATCTCTTGTTACAGTCATCCCGCACCAGTAACACGAGTGGGGATGCCTGTGAGCGACGTGATCCCTGCCAGCACGGTGGTGTGTGCATCAGTACAGATGATGGACCAATCTGCGAGTGCCGGGACGGTGATTATGAAGGAGAATACTGCGAAAGAGGTAAGTTTAATCCTTCACGCAGTAGGCAGAGTGAACGGTGTGGAAATGTCCCATGTCATGTCATGTCCCGGGAACTGCTCGGAGTTTCCCTCTCTGCCATACCTTTGGACCTTTACCTGCGCGGTGAATTCTGTATTTCTTGGTACCTCATTATACATATAACTTTGTTATATCGAAATTTATATCTATTATTTTATATGACTTTGTTATATCCCCTTTTTAAAGAAGCTACTTTTGTCTTTGTCTATCCGAGATTCAATAACGCTCGTTTATTCAATACTTTACTTACTATCTATTGCTGTTATTGTTCGTAATATAACGATTGCATGTGAAACTGTCATTTGAAATGCGGAGTTTTCTGAAGGGACCTTGCAGGCACAATCCTGATACTAATTTTAGAATATGATGTAGGCGTTGAAGTCAGTGACATCGTTCATCATAACTTTGACGTCTAGAGGTCGCAAATTGTGATCTAGTTGATTATTTATAGATTTACTTATTTATTAATTTATTTATTCAAAATATGTACGCCTGCAGTGTTTATACATTATACATAGTATAAAACAAAGTCGCTGTCGCTGTCTGTTCGTCCCTATTTATGCTTAAATCTTTAAAACTACGCAATGGATTTGGAAACGGTTCTTTGAATAGATAGAGTGATTCAAGAGGAAGGTTTATATGTATAATATACACCCGGGTGAGTAGCTAGTAAATAATAAAGACGAAAGTCGATGTTTTGACCGCTTACTTTTAAATCACGAAACGGATTTTCATACATTTTGCATGATAATTTCTTCCGGAAGTGTTATTAATATTACATGCATATGACCTCCATCATATAGACTGTACACCCGTGTAAAGTCAGGTGGATTGCCAGTTATAAGGTATGTATGTCTTATCGAGTATAAGTTAAATATACTTATAACAATTTTATACTTATACCATTTATACTTTCGAGGAAAATTTGTTAATTTTTTCCTAGGCAAATTCATCACAATATATAGGAAAAATTGTCATATAATTTCTATAAACATTTATAAATATGTCTTATTGAGCATTTTAGGTTATGTTGCATGTAACAACTTTATAGGTAACATTTATAATTTCGAAGCAAATTTCTTCACAATTTTGGCTAATTCGTAACAATTTCTAGGTAAATTCGTCACAATATCTAGGCAAAGTCACATAATTTCTATAGAAATTCGTCATGTTATTTCTAGGTAAATTCGTCACATCATTTCTAGGTGAGGTCATCTAAGTTGCCCCGATTAACATAACCGACATCCTTACGTGCCAATTTGTCAAGATCCGACAGATAGGCTCGATGGGGTCCCAAAACGTGTCGCGGGTAGACCCTCTAAGTTTACTTCTCTCCTTCAGACGATATACTATCTTAATAATATTTAAACGTATCAAAAAGCAACACAAACTCTTTTTAACTTCAAATGCTGACATAGCACGCGATTTTAAGTGAAAAGTGCTTTATTTTCCGGTGCTTTCCTCATATAACACGTCACACAGCTTAAAAGCTTTTGTGTTAAACAAAAAGAAGCCAACTTTTCTTGATATATAAAGAATTGAAACAAATATCCCAACACCACGTTAACTTAAATGGGGTAGGCAGAATCGTTATCAAATGTTGATGTCATGATAATAGAAACATTTGATATGTCCTCTATATGACATTTCGATATCTATATTTCAATTTAGTGAGACAGGCAGCGAAAGTACCTCTATTTCTCGGATTAATTACTAGAGTTGAAGTTTATTTTAGAATTAGGAAGGTAAGGCAAACAAGCTCACCTATCTCATGTTAAGCGATATATACATAAACTAATATCATTATATTACGTGACATCCGTGATACCACTTTTGCAATACCATTTCAGAGAGTCTTAGATGTAATTTTTTTATACTATTATGGTGGCAAACAGGCATACGGCCCATCTGATGGTAAATGGTTACCGTAGCCTATGGACGCTTGAAACAGCAGGGGTGACACGTGCGCGTTGCCGACCCTTAAGAAATCTTAATAATAATAATAATAATAATCTTAAGACAATTCACACAGCGTCATCTAGTCCCGTTAAAGCCTGATACAAATACATAGGTATATATTTTTTTCGTAAATACATACTTAGAATACAATATGACACAAACAATCATACTCATGAATACAACTGTTTGTTGAAGAACCCGACTATCGGACGTGTTGTCTCGTGAGAAAACGCCATGCTGGCGTGAGAAAACCTCGGCAGGAAGTTCATTCCACAACCTAAGTGTACGCGGGAGGAAGCTCCTCTGAAACCGTACTCGTACCGGCCACTTAGGTTCCACTTTTCATTCCTCTTATCCTGTAATTTCACTATTTTCTTCGGCGCTACAACCGAAACTCTACCTACAAAGCAAGTTTATCGACGTCTGATTTACATGAGACTGAAATATTCATTCAATTTCAAATTCAAAATACAAAAATATCTTTATTCATGATTCATAATAGGTCTATTACAGACTCTTATGATATGTCAAATCTACCGTCAGTTCGGAATGGTATCGAGATGAGAAGAACTGACAATAAATTTCCATTTTTACTGAAAAAGAGAGGATGAGACGACTTATAAAAGTAAATAAACTTATAGGAGTAGTACCTGGAATAATGTGTAAGGATGGAACGCAGCACATAATTGTCTCTGCCTACCTCGTAAAGAATTTGGTGAATATAAATAATTAGAATAACATTATGAATAGAATAGAATAACATTTATTACATCACACATCACAACACAATAAAAACGATGCCGACAGCTGCATATAAATTATTATATAAGATAAACGTAAATAAAAAACAATTCATTAAATTAGAGATGAAATCATTATATACAAAAAAAAAGAACAACATAGTAACAAACAAATAAATAATAATAATAATAAAAAAACAATAATAATAATAATAAAGTAAAATGCATTTCCTATACACCACTGCGGAGCATCGTCACTGCGTCACTGTGTACTGATGTGCTGATTATGCCATGACAAAGGCACGACGCTGATTTTCAGTGAAACCCCGAATAAGTGATTCATATAAGTAATTAATTAATGGATTTATATAATTTTGTTTCACAACCACCACGGTCCACTACCATACCATTAGTGGAATTTAACAAAATAATAACCATTAAGTAATGAAATGGACTTCCGCAAAACAACATCTAATTTGATAAAACATGACGATAGATATTTAAATTCGTTAACATTAGAATTATCGCGTTTGTAGGTATGTTAACGTCAGATGCAACAACTTATACAAGCGGCAAACTTGCGTACTTCGGTAACCATTGACAAGTACTTATATCTCTTCACTGTACATCTCTCAAGTTACAACTGCTTTGTACATTGTTACTCGAGAACATTTCGAGGCGCGTCAGTGTCGTTTTTAATTGTCCCTACTGCGGTTGAACATCAGTAATTACCACTCGACGCTTTCGAGATAATTAGATTAGTACTTAATTATTGTGACTACGATAGGGTTGCCAAGCCACAATTTTAAAAACCAAAAGTGTTGCAATAGTTATATTAATATGTAGTAAAATTCAAGTAATTAATATAATCAGGTTATTAATAAGAAGAATTCGATAAAATTATGCTGTTGGAAATAATTTTAATTAAGAAGCGTGCATATTTTAAAAACCCAGAACGCTGCCAACGATTATATACAAAGCATTACGATATTTAACACTAGTGATACTACATAGAGTTAAAAAGTAGTCAAATTGGGTACCTAAAACTAAAACCTGATATTAGTTTGTTCGTTTGTGCGTTCTAATCTCAGAAACGGCTTATCTGATTTGGGTATTGTCATTTTAATGAATGATAATGTAATAGTGCTCCCGCCTGCTTTAACAGTGTCCTCTGTGGGGGCACCAGTGGAGGATGATAAGATGAGCATGTGGTCAGATTTATCACAATGTTTTCCACACATGCTAATGGTAGAAGATTTAAATAATAATTAATTATATCCATTAATATAAATCCACGAAATAATGGAATGAACTTCCTCAAAATAATAATCTTATATATAAAATTCTCGTGTCACAGTTTTCGTTCCCATACTCCTCCGAAATGGCTTGACCGATTCTCATGAAATTTTGTGACCGTATTGAGTAGGTCTGAGAATCGGCCAACATATATTTTTCATCCCCCTAAATGTTAGGGGTAGTCCACCCCAAATTTTTTTTTTTTATTTTAAGGTAAAACAACGTTTGCCGGGACAGCTAGTTAATTTATAATTTTCCAATTCGATAAAATATATCATATTTTTTTATTACTATTCTCATCGTCCAGTTCGGCTAGCTACTTAAGCTCAGAAGATCTGGCAAGAAATTCAACTGTTACTTTTTTGTTATTATGATTTAGTAGTTTTATTTAATAACTCTATTTTGTACCAAACATGTAATATATATTTATTTACTATACGCACAAATACATAAATAATGGTGCATTAGGCGAACTTAACACCGAGAGGCAACAATATAAACATATATAGGCAAGAATAAAAGTAGAATAATATTACATATGCATATACTAGAAATGAGCACATATTATATTAATAAACATACGTAGATGTGACATGTAAATGTATATATATTTTATACTACATATTTTAATGACGTATAAAAATATATTTTTCGATTCAAGAGAAAAATAGACAGAGAATATGCAAATTTATCAATTGGAAACATGGTTTTTTCGATCCGTTACTCGCTGCATATTTTAGTTGCGTGGCCAATGTGGCGACAGACGCTCTAATTGGCAAAATTAGATTCGAATGCAGTGTTAAATGAAATGCAGCAAAACCAGCTGAAAGCAGTGGCGTAGTTAGGTAACAAAGGGCCCTGAGGCAAATAAAAAAATGGGGCCCCACTGCTCAGCAGTTTTATTACAACGCATATATCCCTATCCGTCAAATTGACAACACTGCCAACCCAAAGAAAGGGGAATTT